TATACCATGAGGTGTACACATAGCATTTTCCAAGCAAGTTTTAGAAATTGGATCAAGAACCGATCTATTAATCAACAAATATTACACTTATTCTTAACAGTTTAAGGTGTGCAACATGAATTTTTCTTTCCCATTCCGTTTCATTGGTAGATAAAAAAATAACTAGATCTTAGAAACAGAATCAATAATCGAAGGGTATATAAAAATCTTAGAATTAAGTCAATAATATGTAACGATTGAATGGAATTGAAGAATAAACAAAAGAACAAGAAAATCAATAAAAACTAAATAGATATTTAAGTGAGTTGTATTTCATTAGACTAATCAAGATAGAAGGATTGAACTGAATATTTTTCAAATTCAATAAGGGTCGGTTTGATTGTAAAAATGAAATTTGGGTGGAAAGAAAACGAATTTTAGGGAATTGAGTTGCCTAGAAATTTTTTTCCTGAAAATTGTAAATCATTGTGTTTAATTGGTATAATTTTCCATGTGGAAAATACTGAAATAAAAATATTTTTTAATTTTTGTTTGGCTTTGTTTTACATGAAAATTGTCCATTAAAGGGATAAAATTTACTGGTATTAGGAATAAAATTTGTTTTCATTGCAAAAAAATAAAAAATAAAAAAAATCAAGAAAATCATCTATCTTTTGATATTCGTTTGACTTTGTTTTATATGAAAATTGTCAATTAAAGAATATTTATTTATTTATTTATTTATTTATTTGAAATTAGACATATAATTTGTTCCCATTGCTTTAAAAAAAAAAAAATTCCTGAAATTCCAAATCTTATAGGTTTGGTAAGAATTGGAATTCTAAGAAAAGAAGGAAAATTGGCGCATGGGGAGGGGGTGGGGACTTGGAATACCAATTCCATGGTAAATATGTGCCATCAAACAATGATAAAGATGGAAAGTGGAATTCATGGCCAATCAAACAAGTCCTAAATGTTGGCTGATTATACATTTCATTATAGTTCTATGATTAAGAGTATCAATTTCCACTTTTCATGGAATTCATGACCAATCAAACAGGCCCTAAATGTTGGCTGATCATATATTTCATTATAGTTCTATGACTAAGAGTATCATTTCTTATTTGATCCTTTTGAATTCCAGATTCGAAGGTGCAATTATTAAAAAGAATCGATGAAACATATTTCTTATGTATTGATAGGTACAAGAAAATCAATAAAAACTAAACAGATATTTAAGTGAGATGTATTTTTTTTTTTTAACAATTTAACTTATAATAGATTTCTAAATTTTAATGAACTAACATTAGTTGTTTTTAATGTATTATAAAACTCATTCTTATTTTTTTCATCTGAATAAACAAAGATAAGGTTAAGAGTAAGTCTTAAAGTCACATGCAATGTGTTAGATTACACATGGTTCATTGACTTCCAAATTATGTAAACTGAGTAGGCATTTGACGGTCAACTTAATTTGTTCAAGCATCGAGGCGTGCCTTTCAGTCAAAGCCTTGATTCCCGTGTACAACTTGCTGTAATGTCGTATTAATTTAAAATAATCTACAATTTATTTGTTCTTTTTTATTTGTTCTTTTTTATTTTTTATTTTTATCAAAGTGTCCGTCTTCGACGATTATTCCTTTGATCTGTGATTCGACCCCTCTTCACACAGACCAATTAAATCGCTGAATGTGCCTCCTACTGACCAGGGTTCGAGCGCCTCTCCAACAATTTATTTGTTCTTCATTTGATTTCTCTTCGTCCACGTTGTTACGAAACATGTTCAATATAAGGTGTGATCTATATAAAATTTTCATATGGGTGTATGTGAAGGATAAATCTAGCTGCACACTCTCTTAAGTGGTAGAGACGAGTAAGTATTTGAAACTTTAGATTACTGTAAGTATTATGCCCTAGGTCCAATCGACTTTGGACATAAATACTTTTATATATAATTAATGCAATTAAATGGCAGATCTATTATTTAATTAATAGACAATTAAATAAATAATAGAGTCCGTAGATTCAAATATTTGTAATTTGTTAATCACAAAGAGTTGTGATTGTGAGATACAAATTACATCAGATTGAATCTTAAATCATCCGTGGTCGTAAGTAATAACGAGATACGGATATCGTTATTACGGATAGACCATCACGTGTGGCATTTCTTACTTGTGAAGTAAGTAGCTGATCTCACAAGTTAAAGTGTGGTGACAGTTAAATGAACACGTGGATGTTTGTTATAGAACAAAACATTGGAGACCCGTCGAGAGATTCCACATGGATAACTATCTGAGTGTCGGTGGTTAATCTCTAACGTTCGGTAGTGAAATTGGTCCTTTGACTTGAGGTCGTCATGGTACCTTATATGAGGACAGTCATACTTTGGCGGTGTTGGATGTTGCTCTGAAAAGGGCCGCTAATACGACATCGTTCGGGTACGTCAATAATCGTATGAAGGTTGTGATTGATCAATATAGGATTCGTCACTCTTAGATAGTAGGAGATTATGATCTGCGTTTCATTCAATTAAGTCAATGATGAAATCCTTGGCCAAGGTGTACTCATAAGTCGAAAAGGAATTTTCGATTTATATTGACTTAATAGTGGAGTGAAAGATATGATCGATGATCGAGATTGACACAACTCCATATCTCGTAATTGATCGGATCATATTGACGAAGGGATTATAGTGTCACGGTAAACGAACGAATTTGGTTTTGTCATACCACGTGACATTTCCCCTCACATGTATTGCCCTGACACATTGCTAGATGTCAATCAGGGACGGCGAATGTGAATTGACGATAAATTAAAAGGGTGTTTTAATTTATCAATTTTGATTAGATCAAAATAATATTTCACGTCGTTAGGCATCGTGGTCGGGAACCTAATGGGTCACACACAAAAGAGAATTGGAAGATTGCAAATTGCCAATTAGTTAATTTAACAATCGTTGGATAAATTAATTAATTGGATTTGTTATTTATATTTTCGAATTAATTAATTGGATTAATTAATTCACGGACCGGGTTTAATTAATTGGATTAATTAATTATTGGACTGGACCGGGCCGAGCCTGTTTGGGTTTATATAAATAACAAACTAGGGTTTGAGGTCCATTAAGGTTTTCATTATTCTTGCTAGCACAAGAGAAAACCCTAGAGGCTGCAATCATATTATCTGTGTGGATCACCGTTGGAGGCTGGACAATTGGACAGCTGTGGTGGCAAATCAAGGTTGATTGAACGAAAAGAAAAGCATAAGATTGCAGATCTGACAAAAGGTACAATCTTATCACAATTCCTAACCAAACACAATGAGATCTATTGGATGGGAATCGAAATAATTTAATTTTCCGTTGTGCATGTATAAGTAGATTCCCAACAATTACACCTTATCTAGAGCCTGTTTGGACCCGATTTTTCACCAAAAAATTTAATTTTTTGATCGTTATTTCATTATTCCAGCCGTTATATTTGACTTCTTCTCTCACAGGTGGATCCCATTTTTCTCCTAACGGTCAAAAAATCAATTCTCAAAATCACTTCCAAACAGACTCCTAGATTTCCGTTACGTCAAGAAGAAACATTACACATATATCCAATGCCCCTCCTCTACAGAGCAGCATAAATCAACCGTAAAATTAATTTTAATGTCGTTCGAAATTAAAATAATCTAGAATTTATATAAGATGTAACGCCTGCTCATGTCTGTTAAAGGACTATTTTCGTGAGAAAAAACAGAGGCAATAATTCACTTAAAAAATAATTGTCTACTGAGATTACTGACACACCTTAAAAAAATCCTAAAAAATAGGAGAAATAGCTGGGCTGTCCCCTCCTTTGCCTGAGCATCTTTTGGGGTTTTCAACTTATGTTTTGTATAATTTGACTCTTCTATAGCTATAATTTATTTGTAAAAACATATGAACGTGACCAAGTCGATTCAAAAAGGTTTTTAGAGGACAATTATCCCTACCAATAAATTTGAGAATAAGTTAACTAAACTCCTGTTTGAGTTTGAGGGTTCCTTTTTTTTTTTTTTTTTTTTTCAAAAACTCATTTTCAATCACATATACTCCAGTAAAATGATTTTACATGTGAATTCAAAATTTTTTTCCTTCGAAATTAATCAGCATCCTTTAAGTGAGTTGGGGGAGCTTATAATCTGAATTTGCTGTAGAAGTTTCTCCTGCTCTAGACTGACTTCGAAGAAAGAGAGGATTGAGCTTTTTTCGCCGAAAATGGGAGCAAATAGGAGCACAAGTAAAATGTTGTTTCACAAAATGTATTTGAGTGCTATAAAAATTGAAAGAAAAATGCTACAATGCTTGGAAAAAATTTCACAGGCTTCTTACAAATAGGTGAATCCCACCTCATTATAAAAATACTCCAAAAATCATGGGACCCACATATTTGTGATAGGCCTGTATCCTTCCCGTGAAATTTTCCCTTGGTATTGTTAAATTTCTCAAATTGAAAGTTTGAAAACCGAAATGCTAAAAAATGGACCAAAGTATTCGTCCCACTGATGAATTACATCTGAAATGTTTATTAACTAATAATAACACGATAGACATTTGGAAATGTTCAGGATCTGAAACGTGATTAACAATTGAAACACTATTTTACATTCAAAAAACGTAAAATCGTTATCTACATGCAAATGTAATCCATAAGTGGGTTGTTTTCCGGACCAAGCCCATTTGTTCCACATTTTTCCAACAAAAATGAATTTTAAATATCATATCATGGGTCCTACCTTAAAGTGTTGAAGTAAAAAATTGTAGGCTGATTTGATGGAATAAATATATTATTTTCCTAAATAATGTGCACCAAACGAGGGCCAAGCCCATTTACTACTAAAAGCATTAATGGCCAGCAGAAAAAAAAATCCACCCATTTACTACTAAATGCCATGCTTGCCCTCATTATTTCAAGGAGTTTACTTATTTGCCCTTCAATTTTCCCCAATTTCGATTTGTAACCAGGCATTTATATGAGGGCGAAATTGGAAGATAAATACCATCAAAAGAACAAAAAAAAAAAAAAACTATTTCTTGTCGACATGAATACATCATACTGCAGATGTGGACCCATTACTCTGTTGTCCAAAATAAATTTGGTACGATAAAGGGTGTCAAACCAATACGTTATAAACCTATTTAGTAGCAGTCCTCTCGAATGCACATCTCACTGCTAATCAAACTTTTCTTTGGTAACTCTCAAAGAGATCATCCATGGCGGATTTATCATCAAACCCTAATTCCAACAATGCTGAAAATCATCTAAATCACCCAAAAGCTCGTTTCATGGATGCCATGGATATTATCCAGTGGGAAGGCTTCTGGTTCGAACCTGGCCTTGTTCAACCGGCCATGACCTTCAGATCATGCTTTCAAGCACAAAACAACGACGTTGTCTTAACATCAAACATCAAAACAGGCACAACATGGCTCAAATCCCTATGTCTTTGCATCCTTAAAAACCCAAAACCTGACGAGGATCTTGACCTTCTAGTTGAGGATAATCCACATTTCCATGTCCCAACAATAGAAAGCACAATTTACAGCACAAAACCCCATATAGATCTTTACAAAGCTCCTTCTCCTAGACTTTTACACAGCCACTTACCCTACATTGTCCTTCCAGATTCAGTCAAGAACACGGATTGTAAAATCGTTTACATTGCCAGGAATCCTAAGGACACATTAATATCCATGTGGCACTTTTTCAACTCCATTTTATACCCTAATCAAGACCCTTTTCCTTTAGAAAGAACCGTTGATTGTTTCTTATCTGGGGTTCATCAATACGGCCCCTTTTTCGATCACGTTTTACAGTACTGGTTGGAAAGCCGGAAGAATCCGCAGAAAATACTCTTCTTGAAATATGAAGAACTGAAAAGGGATCCCAAGGGAGAGGTAAAGAAACTTGCTGAATTTCTTGGGAAGCCTTTTGCAACTGAAGAGGAAATTGATAAGGTTTTGTGGAGGTGCAGTTTGGAGAGACTCAAAAATTTGAAGGTGAACAAGAATGGATCTATTGTGTACAGTGTACCTAACAGTTTGTACTTCAGGAAAGGTGTTGTTGGGGACTGGAAGAACTATTTGACGCCCGAAATGGAAGAGAAAATCAACCAAATGAGCAGCATCAAGCTTGAGGAGCATGGCCTATTTCTGTGATATCGATGTGTGTGCACCTTTGGCATGTCTCTTTTCTTAGTACTCCCCGGTGCTATTGAGCCCTTGTCGGCAGACGTGCCAAACGTTTATCATATATACATACATAGATATATGTGTATGTATGAACCTCTAGATTCAACACTTAATGTTTCAATTACCTGGTTCTAATTTTAAGACACCAATGACGTGTGTGTACGAAGAATAGAAATAATTATAAACTCTCAAATGAACAAACTTTCATTAATCTCACAATATATCTCTACGAAGAATTCTCTCTTAGAACTCTCTTGTGC